GTGGGCTCCTGTCCCCATCACCGACGCATTCCCATCCCGGTTGTGCTCCTGTCTTCATGGCCACTACACTCCTATCACCATCCTGCTCCCGATCCCAGCCCAGCCGTGCGTCCTGCTGTACTGAATGTGCATCATCCCGGCTGGGCACCGCCCCATCCCAGCTGGGCATCGCTCCATCCTGGCCTTGCATTGCTCCATCCTGGCCTTGCATCTCTCCATCCCAGCTGGGCATCACATCCCAGCCATGCATTGCTCCATCCCAGCTGTGCATCGCTCCATTCCGGCCATGCATCGCTCCATTCCGGCCATGCATCGCTCCATCCTGGCCTTGCATTGCTCCATCCTGGCCTTGCATCTCTCCATCCCAGCTGGGCATCACATCCCAGCCATGCATTGCTCCATCCCAGCTGTGCATCGCTCCATTCCGGCCATGCATCGCTCCATTCCGGCCATGCATCGCTCCATTCCGGCCATGCATCGCTCCATCCTGGCCTTGCATTGCTCCATCCTGGCCTTGCATCTCTCCATCCCAGCTGGGCATCACATCCCAGCCATGCATTGCTCCATCCCAGCTGTGCATCGCTCCATTCCGGCCATGCATCGCTCCATTCCGGCCATGCATCGCTCCATTCCGGCCATGCATCGCTCCATCCTGGCCTTGCATTGCTCCATCCTGGCCTTGCATCTCTCCATCCCAGCTGGGCATCACATCCCAGCCATGCATTGCTCCATCCCAGCTGTGCATCGCTCCATTCCGGCCATGCATCGCTCCATTCCGGCCATGCATCGCTCCATTCCGGCCATGCATCGCTCCATCCTGGCCTTGCATTGCTCCATCCTGGCCTTGCATCTCTCCATCCCAGCTGGGCATCACATCCCAGCCATGCATTGCTCCATCCCAGCTGTGCATCGCTCCATTCCGGCCATGCATCGCTCCATTCCGGCCATGCATCGCTCCATTCCGGCCATGCATCGCTCCATCCTGGCCTTGCATTGCTCCATCCTGGCCTTGCATCTCTCCATCCCAGCTGGGCATCACATCCCAGCCATGCATTGCTCCATCCCAGCTGTGCATCGCTCCATTCCGGCCATGCATCGCTCCATTCCGGCCATGCATCGCTCCATTCCGGCCATGCATCGCTCCATCCTGGCCTTGCATTGCTCCATCCTGACCTTGCATTGCTCCATCCCAGCCGTGCTCATCCCACCCCACCCGTGCATCGCTCCATTCCAGCCATGCATTGCTCCATCCCAGCTATGCATCGCATCCCACCTGTGCATCGCTCCATCCTGGCTGTGGACCACTCCAACCTGGCTGTATATTGCTTTATCCCCGCTGTGCATCTCCCCATCCTGGTGCTGGAGCATCACCTCTCCGCAGTGGCTTGCATTGGGGAACAGGAGCCAGCAGCGGCCGGGATCGTGGGTGAGCCATTCCCACTCTGCGGCAGCGGTCCAGGTGCAGGCACCGTCTCAGAAGAACCAAGAAACTTTCTCCATTGCACCAGAGCAAAGAAGTGAAATTGTAACATCCTCTTGTGAAACCGACCTCAAACCAGGCCCAAAGGGGAAGCACAAGCATTTCTGGGGATAAGAAAAGCCGTAACTCATAGCTCACCACTGCCCCACTGCCCAGCCATGTGATGCTTGGACTTGGGGCCACTGATTGGAGCCTCTGCCGGGGAAGAAATGCCGGGAAGTGGCTGGAGGACTCATGCAGCACTTGGAATTTTTCATGTCCAGCTGCAAAATAAGCAGAGAAAAAAGAGCAGCAGCTGGTGGCAGGATGCAGCCGGGGCTGCTGGCCTGGGACGGTCGCTGCAGGGGGATGAAATTCTGAGAAAAGTCTTTGGTGACCGGAGGAGCTGCTACAACTGACCACAAACATGCTGAAAATGGAGCTTTCCTTTTCTCCATCCCTCATGCACAGGCACAGCCATCTCACCACTGTCTTTCTGCAGCCTGCATGAGGGTTTCCCAGCCCCCTGACAGGATTTGACCCCCTTGGGTGCCATTCAGCACAGCGAGCCGGGGCCGGAGGGTGCCTAATCTCCCTGTTGTGATCTTCATCTCTTTTTTTTAATTCTCCCTCCAACGCCAGCACGATGCAGCCGCCCCAGGGACGTGGCCAACGCGCACATCGATGTGGGGAACAACACGCTGCTCAACGCCCGCCTGCGCTACACCTGCAACCCGGGCTACAAGCGCAAAGCCGGTACCTCCAGCCTCATCCAGTGCGTCCTCCGTGATGGCTCCACCGAGCCCGACTGGACCCACACCACGCTGCAATGCATCCGTAAGCCCTCGCTCGGCAGCTGGGACGCGATGGGGACCGGGGAGGGGGGACACCGTCACCGGAGAAGGATGCAGGGTGGCGTGGGAGCTGCTGTTGATGGTGCCTCCACGTTGTGTCTTCCCGAAGGGGACCCGGCTCTACGTGCGCAAACCCCCAGCCCTGAGCTCCCGACGGCGCCGCGCACCGAGAGGACGACCCAGAGGGGTGAGGAAGGGGCAAACACAGCCCACGGGGGTTGGTTTGGGGCCACCGTGGCCGCAGCCATGACAAAACCTCAACCACCGTGATGAGGAAAGCAAACTATTTCAACTGCGTGATTGAATTAATTCAATTGCATGAAATTATGCCATTTGTAGCTGTTGATGGGCTGTATGGTCCCTGCCTGAAGCAGGCACGAGGCTGAGCACTGAAGTAACAGCGCTGCCTGGAATGTGCCTTTTAATTTTTTAAATGGAAAGGCTTTACACCATTTTCCCCAGCAGGAACCACCGACACCAGCCTGACCTCCAGCCCCTCTACAGCAGCAATGCCTGGGCTGCCAGGAGCTGCCGGCCGGTCACCCGTGCCACCAACACCTGATGAGCCATCGCCGGAGATGTCCACACCGCCGGAGATGCCTCCACCACTGGAGACATCCACACTGGGAGAGGGGATGGCCCCGGGGACATCTCTGGGGACAACCCCGCTGCCCATCGCCCCCACGGACTACGCCGCAGGTCAGACCTCCTCTCTGGGGGAGATAACCCACCAACAGGGCTGCGCTTCAGCCAGCAAAGGCTCTTTAACTTTTTCAATGCATTTTTCCCTTCTTTCTGACCTCCTTTTTAGTGAGGCTCCCCCCACCTTTCCCCCCTTTCCTGGCTTCACAGCTAAAAAAAAAAATCTCAATTTCTCTCTTATTTTCCAGTTTCCATCCAGACCCTGGCGTCTTCCATTGGTAAGCCAGGCAAAAAGCTTATTTTGGCAAACAGGGGCTCATTTTCTTTATTTTTTAGCTTAAAAGCCCTCCTCGGGGCTGTGGGAGGTTTATGCTGCAGTTGAGGGCAACGCCTTCGAGGGGGGAAGGATGCAGCACCCAAATTTCTTCCCGGGGTGGGGAGGGCACCTTGTGAACATGCACAAAGCGTTTTCAGCTGTTTGGTTTGAGCTGGGCTGTGCCCTCAGCCGTGTGCTGGGAGATGCTCATCGACCGCCGCGTCTCTCCTGCAGGATCCTCGGTGCTGGTGGTGGCCGGCGTCGGGGCCTGCTGCTGCTGGAGGATGAAAACGTAAGTGTGCCAAGCCCCACGGGGTCTTTCCACCCCAGTGATGAGTTGTCCTCGGCCTCTGCGCTTTCCTGAGAGCTGGGGAACGGCCTTGGGGTGCCGGTGACGCTCCTCTCCCCTCTGCAGGCGCGTGAGGCAGGACTACGCGGTGGTGACGGCCATCCCCATGGTGGCTCCTGCCGCTGAGAACAACGAGACGTTGCCGCCCGGCGTCTTCCCCACGGGCTGAGCACCCACCACCGGGCAACTCGGTGCACCCGCCAGCCCGGAGGATGCTCGGATGGAAAGCCGGACGCTTCTCCGAGCAGCGGCGCGTGGCAGAGCACGTCTCGGTCCCCAGCTGACCTCTGCGTGGAGCATCCTCGCCCCAGGGACACGCGGCAGCGCTTCCCAGTCCGAACAAGTGA